GACCATCTTTCGATCTTCTTCCATTTCCAAATACCGACATTTCCATTCTGGAAGTTTCCCAAATCTTCCCATTTTCCTCCTCTCCGCCAAGATCCTTCAACGGAATCTGAAGGTAAATTTTCTCTGCCTCTGCAACTTCCAACACAACTCCCCCGCTGCATGATTTCCTTTTTCTTCCGATTCAAATTGGCGAAAATCCGCCGGTTTCTGCATTTGGGGTTCCATTTTTTTCCCACTTATGAAGAAACCCTCATTTCGCACTTCGACTATTTCCTTTAATGCGTTATGGAACAGTTAGATGGTAGCTTTGTGCTTAGATTTTACGCTGGTTCTAGGCTAGGACTCGATCAATGTTAGTTTGGAAGGAAATTTTCTGAATCTTTAAGCACGATGGTTGAGATGATGAGTAATTTGAGTAGAACTATGTCGTTTAATCGGAGTGCTTCATTCAGTAGGAGGGGTTTAAGTTCTGCAAGCCCGAGGAGTCGTGTGGGGTGGATCATTCGCTGGTATCATGTGTTCGTAGTCATTGGATTTCTGGTTTCATCTCTTGTAGTGATTACTGCTGCTTATCTTCATGTGCTCCCAAGTTTTGCTCTGTCTTCTCATGATAATGGTGTTCGGAAATCGAATTATTCGATGAACGGGAGCTGCAATGTGTATGAAGGAAGCTGGATTTTGGATGATAGTTATCCGCTTTACAATGCTACAGAATGCCCTTTTGCTGAGAAAGGATTTGATTGCTTAGGTAATGGTAGGGTGGATCAGAACTATCTGAAATGGAGGTGGAAACCCGTGGATTGTGATGTCCCGAAGCTTGATGTGCGGAATGTACTGGAAATGCTGCGGAGCAAAAGGATTGTTTTCGTTGGAGATTCGATGAGTAGAACGCAGTGGGAATCATTGATTTGCTTGCTTATGAGTGGGGTTGCGGATAAAAGGACTGTTTATGAAATGAATGGGAATAAGATTACAAAACGGATTAGGTACTTAGGCGTTCGGTTTAGTTCGTTTAACTTCACTGTTGAGTTCTTCCGCTCGGTTTTCCTTGTGCAACAGGGTCAGATGCCAAAACATGCACCTAAGAGAGTGAGCTCAGCCCTTAAATTGGATGAGATTGATAGTATTAGCAGCCGGTGGATAGATTCAGATGTTTTGGTGTTCAACACTGGACACTGGTGGGTGCCCGGGAAGTTATTCGAATCGTAAGTTCCCTTTTCGTATTGTGATGTTTGTTTGAAATTAATATCAACTTTCTGATATGATTTATATCACTGCAACTTTAAGAGTAGAGAATAACTATAATTTTCAATGTCATGAAAGAAGCATGGTGGCTTTTTCTACTAAAGCGAGGATGAGTTTTTCTTTTCTAGCATCGAAAGAAAATGAACCTTGAAATTTTTGTTTCACTTGTGCACATGCAAGAGAGTAAGAGCGTAAAAAGACCATTTGATCTGTGGACAAGATTTATTCAGTATTTGGTTTGATTATTTGAGATTTAGGTCTCTGCCACACAATGATTATTTATGTGAAATGGTTTCGATATCCAACAGTCAGATTAGAGCTTGTCCTTGGATATCATAGGTTAATAATCCTTGGTGTGTAAAACATGCATTCCTGACTAAAGTAAAGGGAGAATGATAAGGGGAAGCGGGCATATGGGTGTGAAGAAGATTCTAGTTTCCCGAAACTTACCATTAAATTACGCATCATTTTTCCACACATTGGGAGTCCCATGATTGTCTCATGCACTAAAAGTCAAAGTTTAGAAGCAGGGTTTGTGTTTATACAGAGAGAACAGAAAACTGCGATCTTTACAATTTTTTTGTTTTGGTTCATATGACATAAATAATCTTACCATCTTTAGAACCTCTTGAAGGCTTCTAAAGGTTTGTTGGACAGTGGTTGCTATTTTCAGGTTGGAAATTCTCTAAAACTTGGAATGTCAATTCCCACAGCTTTTGAAGTAGCTGTTCGCACATGGGCATCCTGGATTGAGAAAAATATCAACACAAACAGAACCCGTGTTTTCTTTCGCACTTTCGAGCCATCACATTGGAAGTATGTGTTCTTTTTTTCTTGAATTAATGTAATTTTCTCAAAATTGGGTTGAAGAACTGGAAATGAATTTTTCTTGATGCATTTATTAGGTGCATTTAAGGCAAGTTATCTTGTTAAATGATGTTTTCTTGATGCATTTGATGTATTTATATCATGAAATTCAGTGTCTTCAGGTTGGCAACTCTCCCAAGTTTGGAATGTCGAAAATATTCTTGATGCATTTGATTTTGCTACTTGCAGTTTTTTAATCAAACTTATAGCCTTTACGGAGTCTGGTCTAGTTAGCTTTTATGTTAGTAATTCACTGACTGTAAAAGCGTCAACAAGTTGCAGTTTCTTAATGGAATTAGATATTCGATGGCAAGTGAAGTCATGTAGAGAGAATATGTCATCTTGATGAAATACTCAGCAAGAATGAAGGGCTTCCTCAACACTGGTAAAAAGGTTTGGAGGATTAATGGAGAATTTAGTCAACCTGCCCCAATCGAAGGCGAGAAACTGATATGTCAAAACTCTGTTATAAAAGTTGATGGCTGATCTTTGATAATTTCTTGTGATAGGGCATTAGTTTGCAATTTGCTTGACATAGATTCAACATCATGTAAATTAGGTGCTTGATCTGAATCTTTAATTGATTGTTGACCTGCTTTATTCATGCATCAGGGACCACACTTTCAAATATTGCACTGTTACCGATCAACCTGTGACTGAAGCCAATGGAAGGGACAGAAGCATATTTTCCGACACCATATTAGAGGTGGCAAAGAATATGAAAGCTCCCATTAATGTTTTACGCATAACTTCCATGTCTGCTTTCCGAAGCGATGCACATGTCGGTAAATGGAGCGCTAATCCATCTGTTCCGGATTGCAGTCATTGGTGTCTACCCGGAGTGCCTGATGTGTGGAATGAAATTTTGCTCTCCTACCTGCTTTATGAATATAATTTTCCATCCAAATGACCAAAACATATACAAGTAAGTTGCTTATCTCGACCTGCAAAAATAAACTCTCAAAAGAATCATTTTCGGTTTCGGTTCTGAAGAGTGAGTTCATCTTTTTCAAAACTGAGGTAACCGTCTCCTCTAAAACTTATGCAGAGTGGATTAACAAGAATTTGCTAACATCTGAGAAAAGCTTATGCCGAGGATGGAGCGACGTGAATTTATTAACGTCGGAGAGTAAGCCATCCTTCAGTGACAAAGAATGGTAATATCGAGTCTGGCTTGTTGCGTATCCTCTTCCTCGGCCGTGTTGTTTCTTGAATTCTTTGAACATCATTCTTTTATTTTCAAGGGAAATGAAAGTGCATTGAGAGTTACAGGAAGTTGTTTCTTTCTTGCCCCTTACTTTTCATCCATTCTTTGGGAGAGGCCAAATTATGGCCTTGATGTGTGTATCAGTATCTATTGTCCTTGTATTAATCATGAGTTTTTTTAAAGGATAAACACCAGTGTTGAACATAAATAGCAAAGATTATTCTACTTCATCATCTTCTCTACATTTAATGCTTTGCTCCTAAGCCTCACTCTACTGCTTCATACTTCTTAGTGGGTTGGTTTTTGAGTTAATTTGTTATTATCAGTGATGTGACGATTGTCGTTCTTTTTGGATTGGAGCCCATTTTTTTAGGTTGGTCTCTCTGCTTTTTGTTTTTGTATGCTTTTGGTACGCTTTATCAGGATGTATACAAGTAGGGGTAGAAGTGGTATTTTACATGTCGACAGCTAGTTAGATCATTAATGGGCGTGGCTGGCAGAGTGAGAATTTTATGTTTTCATGCTTAGTTTGAATAATGAGAAAATTGGAGTGGAGGACCAGCACTGTGTAAAGGGCTGGAATTGCTATTTTGCGGTGAAGCAAGAAGGAACTGTCGCTGATTATCGTGTTGATAAGCAAGCACATTCCAAAACGGGGTGGACCCAGTAATAAGGGCTGAAGTTTTGTGGTTGAGTGAATGATGAAAATGGCCCAGCTTATTGAGGCTTGCAAATTGGCTAAATCCTCGAGTATGGGGGCACTCTCAACCCTGACCCAAACCCTAATCCACCAATGCCAACCATCACCCTTTGTGATACGAAAAGACCCAGTTTTCAAACACGGAAACACAAGGGGCTTTGTTACCACTGAGAGGAGAAATTTACTATCCGCCATCGTTGCAAGAGTAAGGAACTTCGAATACTCCTCATCCACGGACATGGAAGTGGAAACCGAGATAGCAGAGAATCGGGTGGAAGAGACACTGGCCATGCAAACGGCACAAGTCCGAGAGTTAGCGGAACTGGCCTTGGCGTTGAATTCCGTTGTCGGATTCTCAGCTCCGGGTATGATAATTAAAGTCAAACGAAGGGTGGAAAACGAAGAGGTAGTTCCTCTAGTCGACTCTTCTCCCAGCTGGTAGACAAGTTGAAGATTCCGATTGCAGACACCCTCGGCTCTCTTTTGTTAAATTTATTTATTTATTTATTATTATTATTTATTTTATTAAGTTTTATTTAATTGTTTTGGTAAAAATAACATAAGTATACTTTTAAGTTTAAAAGAATTTGATTTATAATTAAAATAAAAATAAATAAATAAAAATATTTGATTTTAAATAAAGAAATTTGTTTTAAATAAAAAGATTTGTTTTTATTTTAAAAAAGGATTTTTTTACTAAAACTGATTTTTGATTTTGTTTCCTCTTTTCACTCGTCAAAGTCTGCCAAGGGAAGGTTTCACACGGAACGAAACATAGGCAACACACACAACAGAGAAGGCAAAGTACTGGCCACTTAGAAAAACTCAATAATTTTATTCCTCTCACTTAAAAAGAGTTACCTTCTTTTTCATCTTCTACATCTCACCACTCTCTCTTTCTCATTCTTCATCTTCTACCTCTCACCCTTCCCCCTTTCTCACTCTACGATAAACTCCAGCGACGAACCCGCGAACTTTGGCATCAACACAATAGAACTCCAGTGAAGCAAGATTCGGACGAACCCAGATTGATGCCAACTTCACGTTCTGCTAGCAGGTACACCCTAATACGAAGGATACTGTACATACTTCATTTTTCTAAAAAAATGTTTAAAAAAAATCGTGAAATATCCCGGATTCTTCCTTTCGAAAAAAAAAATGTTTTTTTTTTAAAATGATTTGTTTTAAATAAACAAAACTTGTCCTCCGAACAAAAAAATAAACAAAACTTTTCAAAATAAGAAATAAAACCTTTTAAAATATGTTTTAAACGTGTTTTTGAAAAATAAAAGATTTCGATAAATGAAATTTCTTTTTAACGAAAAGATTTTTTTTTATTGTAATTCAAGGTGGGACTTAAAAGGAAAGGTTTGTTTTAAGTTTTAATCTTTTTAAATTTAAATAAACTGAAAAGTTCCTTTTTTAAAATAAAGGATTTTGTTTTGAACGTAAGTTTCACTAAATAAATTTCTTAAAAAAAAAAGAATAAAAGATTTTTAAAAGTAAATTGTGTTTTAAATTACAAAGTGATAAAAAAAAGTGTGAATTTTAAAATAAAAGCTTATTAAAGTTATTTTTTATCTTTTAAATTTCTTTTTGGATAATAGGAAAAGGTCTTGTTTTGGTTTTTAAAATAAATGTAATAAAGTAAAACCAAAGTGAGCAGAGCTCAGCGGTAATTTATATATATCTGAATTTTTTTTTAAAAGTAAATGGAAGGTTTTAAAAGAAAATAAGACTTTGTTTTAAAATAAAGAAATTAATTCTTTTTAAATAAATTTTGTTTTAAGTTAAAATGAATGTCAAATTACAAATTAAGTAATAGTTTGTTTTTAAAATAAAAGATTTGTTAAATAAGTTTTAAAAAAGTGAAGAGATTTTTTAAATAAGTTTATGGTTCTCCTAAAAAAGACGAATTTCAAACTCCAAATAAATAGAATATTTTTTTTAAATAAAAATTTTCATTTTTTTAGTTTTTAAAAATAAATTAAAAGATTTGTTTTTTAAAAGAAAATAATATTTACACCTTTAGGTCCTGGTATAGTGGTAAGAAGCTTGAGTGTCAACATTTATGTCTCAATGTGCCCTAATTTTGAAAATATAAATTTTTATTTATCATTTTTTTTACTAAATAATTACTTTGAAAACTCCCATGACCGAAATTGAAACCTTCCAATATTTCTGAGATGATAAAATTTTCTAATGACCTTCGTGCCACTCATAATTATTAGTTCATATTTTATAGTAAATATAAAGTAATAAAGTATGAGACATTTAAATAAAACAAAAAATATTTTTTTGGACCAAATAAAATAATAGGATAGTTTTTGACAAAATGTGGTACCGTTTTCGAACGGGTGTCGTAGGGTGTTAACAGCTTCCCTACGTTCAGTCGACTCCCGAACCAACAATCTGTTTTCGCAGACTAAGTTTTTTAAATATGTGACCAATCACACATCGTAGATGATTGGTAGCGACTCCAAACCGTTATCTCAAAAGAAACCATTCAAGGGATGCCATCGGCCGCTCCGCATCGCGATGACGTTGCGACAGCTTGGCGACTCCATTGGAGACTATTGAGAGTCAAGCCATTTATTTTTGCCATTTACTATCTCTTATTAAAATATTTTGGTCCATTCCTTTTTATTGCACATTTGTCTTTTAATTATTTGCTTTTGTAAGTTTGCATTATCCATGCATCTAACACAAATTCACAAGCTTCCTACCCAGATTTTACCCTTATGATTAGATCAGAGATTGAGTAGTGTGACTTTTGTGAAATTTCGGTTCCCGTGCAGGCGCATGGAATTCTCCACTCAAGTCAACCATACCGTCAAAGCAGATGGAAAGATTTAGGGGTCATTATCCTCTATGACGCATTAGTACATAACTTCACACCATATTCATATTGCATTTTATGTGAGTTGTTATGTTGTTCATGACATATTGTTTTTAAATAAAAAAAAATAGGGCTGATTTGGAGTTTTAAAATGAACCAGTTTTTAAAAATAAAAAGGGAAAACATAAAAAATTATTTACCTTTTATTTACTCCCATTTGTTAATTATTTATTTGTTATCAACATGCATCTAAATCACATTTATTTTACTTTTTTTGAGTCACATATTTAGCCTACATCTAAATGAATTTAGAAGTGTTGCCTTTCAAAGAGATTTTAAATGTTCCTATGTAGGCCCACCAAAAACTTTCAAATTCATTCATTTTTCGATCCGAAACTTAAGAGTTAAACCTTAACCCTAGAATTAAATGTCATGCATATTCGTGTCTCTCTTTTAGGGTGAGTTAGAGTCTAGTATTGCATTTGCATGCACTAATAATTGCGTGAAATATTGTTAAAAAAAATAATAATTGCATGAAATATGTATCATATCATTAAGGAACTTTGTAACATATTTAAATGAGTTTTTTTTCTTCCTGTAAGGAAAATTAAACTAAAAAAAAAAACTCTATCATAAACTAAAAAAATATATCTTCCATACATCATTCCACATGTCCATGACATAAATTAAATAAAAAAAAAAACATCTATCGTTCTCATGCATCCTTTCATCTGTTTATATATATATATATATATATATATATATATATATATAAGGTCTATATTTCGTATAACATCATCTCATGCATATCAATTTCATCTGATCACATGTTCATAATCATTTCAAAAATTTCCCCATAATTTATATCCAACATTGGCATAACATCATCTCATGCATATCAATTTCTATTTTAAAAAAAAATCTAAATTTTGTGCATTCTCCATTATATCATCATCAAAAACTTTTATTTCTGTCTTTAGAGAAAATAGCTCAACAACCACATATTTTTCATTCTAAGAATACATGGAAAAATACGGAAGAGAATATTTGTTAATTAGAGTTTATTGAGACGAGCCATGAAAAATCAAATTTTAAGCTAAATGAGATGAGAGATGGGATTTAAAAGCATGTGAGGATAATTCAAAATGTTGAACTAAAGAAGTTGAGATAAAATATTGATAAAATCCAGGAGCAAGTCAGGAAATTTTTCAATGTTTTGAAGAATATTGTTAGCTGGGGCATTTCTCAAGTTAACAATTTAGTTGAAGCTTTTAATTCTAATCTACTTAGATTTGATCTTAAAAAGAATGTGAGTATGTGGAAATCAGACTATTTTTCTTAAAGAAAGAAAAAGTCAAAATCATACATTCACCCATGCATCATTCATATCATATAATTTGTTAAATAAAAAAAATTCTTTGACAATCTTTTGGATAAAATAAAATTACATGTTTTGAGATTTTCAATAATAGTTTTTATAAGGTATACTCTTATCACTCTTGTTAGTTGAGACCTTAGCAAGAATCATAAAGCAATTATAGTAAGTCACTTCGATGAAACAAAAAGAATATATGAAAAATGAAAAAGTTGTGAAAAAGGAAAATGAAAAATGTGAAAAAAAAAGAAAATGGAAAAAAGGTGAAAAAAGATGAATGCCTTTAATATCTTCAGTGGGATAGAAAGCTTGTACT